TGCCACAGTTACACCTAGCCCCTTGTACTGTTAAGAGTGGCCTGCTACATCTGATTGCTAGAGGGGTGGACCTCTACTTTCTGCAAGGTGCCCCTTGAGGGTTACTTCTGAAACAATTAAGAAATGTCATGGGATTCTGGGTCTGAGAACCCAATGATGAGTTCTGGGCAGCTCTATCAGAGGAGACAGGAAGCAGCACAGTGCTGAAAACCCTCCTGACTGACCTAAAAGGGGGTGAAGGGTTCTCATAACTACAACGTCTACAGGAAGGGCTGAAGTCAGACTCTGCTGCTACAGGGATGCACAAGATATAACTGGCTACTCCTTGCTGTCCCCTCATTCAAACCTGAGAACCTAGGAATTGGCTTCTTTCTTGAAAGCTCCAAGCGTCTCAGAGCTCCTGTCTTCTCACCCTCACATCCAACAAGGAGCGTAGAGCTTGCTTTTCAAGTACAGGTTGAACATATATAACCCAACATCAAAAATCCAAAATACTGTAAAATCTGAGTTTTTGATCACCAACATGATGCCATACATAGAAAATCTGATAACATGGAACTTTGCTTCATGCACAAAATTATTGAGAATATTATACAAAATTACCTTCAGTTTAAGTATGTAGGGTATACAGGAAATACAAATGAATTTTGTATTTAGACTTGGGTAAATGCTCCCAGCCTTGTTCACTGAAAAGTTGGCACCCCTGGACACAGGTGGAAGGAGAGGAGAGGAGGGGCGGATCCCCAGTGAACTGGTTGTTATAAGAAGGCAGGGCCCTGGCTAACTATGAGTCACCACACACCTCAGGGGTGTGTGGTGTGGGTGCCTACATGAGAAGCAGTGTGACAGTCAGAGATGTCATGATAAGGCCATGGTGACACTGTACTCAGCACCACGATATATTGGTGGCAACCCACAAAAGGCAGGCATTTCCTTTTGATAGGCATCTCTATCATCACTGCCCTGGATTTGAGTTTAAAAAAAATAAAACACAAATGTTGCTGATCAAAAGTCCTTAAAAGGGGTGGATCCTGCTCACTGGGAAGCACTTGGGTTCCCAGCACCTGGATGGCTGTGGGAGAGTCTACTTGCCACAGAGGGAGGTAGTGCAACTGCTGAGGGATGCATAGGAAGAATGAAGTAGACAAATGAGATGCATTAAGGGAAAGAGGGATCAGTGAGATGCTCAAAGCCAGTGAATAATGGGTGAAGGCTGAGTGGGAACTACCTTTAGAAGTAACATCAGGGCATTTCCAGGACAGTAATGCCCATACTGGGCTTGAAGATGTGGGGGTTACTGCCCTACAGAAGCTTGCTAAGTTTCTTGAAAACCCCACTGGAGACCATCAACACAATCCACTCTCTGGTTAAGGATGGTTTCCTTTGCTTCTGTTATTCTGTGTGGTATTTACAGGAGATGTTGGGGAGGGGCTGGGTTTTAGGTTTAGGGAGATACTTGGTACTAAAAGTGTGTCCAAAGGCAGATGCGGCCATGAGAACACCTCATCTGTGGCAATGTGCAGATGTTTCAGGAGTGACCGGACTGTGAGAGGGAATCTAGCTCAGTTAGCGTGTAGCTGCTCTTTGGAGAAACAACAGGGGAATATTTAAAACCTGAATGCCCAGGCCCCTCCCAGACCAATATAATCTCTTCCTCCTACTGGATATAGGTGGATGCATTGGGCAGCTGTGGTCCCAGGTGACTGCAACATGCAGCCTGATGGAGACAAATCCTTACATCTAACCATTACCCTAATCTCCTGGGAACCAGAGATGCAGCTAATGACAGTGACCTCTGAGTGTGGCCACATAAGCCTCAGGTGACCTGATTCTGAAGTGACTCATTTGGAACTTGAAGGCCAAGGGTGAAGGAACAGACATGAAAGACTGAAGCCTGGTCCTTTGCTCATGGCTTCTCAGCTTTCTGTGTGCTGACCTGTGAATTCAGACAGTGAGGCAGAGTAGAGTGAGAAGGACAGGGTGAGTGCACTTCCACCTCCAGTTACCTTCCTCCTCAAGGGTGCCCTGGGAGGGCTGGTACTTTTCTCTCTGTATGTTTGAATGAGGCTGTGCCTAGTTCCGGGTCACTCCTGCCAACAGCCATGAGCCAGCTCCTTTCCACACATGACAGCAGCTAGGGCTGTGCTGCCCAGGCGTCTCACAGTCTGTGCCCAATGAGCCACCAAAGTGACTGCCAGGAGAGCAGGGCCATCACTGATTTTTAACTCGGCAGTGACTGGTGACAGACACGATGTGGTGCAGTGGGCAGACAGGTCCAGCAGAATGTAAAATGTCCAGGAGTAAAGTTCACAGGAAAATGAAAGCAATATGAAAAGTTAGTTTACTCCATGGAGGGACATGATAAGACCATGAACATGCCAAATTGAAAGCTGGAATAGTAAATGTCCAATTTTTCCCCAAATTGAAATATAAATGTGATATAGTCCTTCTTGGTTTAAAACACAGTACTTCTAGTTTTTGAACCTGAAAAAAATTGATTTAAAACAAATGCATTCAGAAAACAAAATTTAGGGGATAAAAGAAAATCATGAGAATGTCTACCTAAAGCATATGAAAACATTACGCTTAAAAAGGTCAAGTTGGAAAAAAGGAAAAAAAAAAAGAAAACCAGGTGGATTTAGGAGTGAGACAAAGAATCTGATTGTGAAAGTATAGAAATTCCTCTAGGATCAAGATGGCTTTTTGAAGCAATTTCTGGAAATCTCACAAAAAAATAGTTAAAAACATTATTTGAAAAACAATGAAGTAACTCATAAGGCACCACATGAAAGTAACTACAAACATTTTTACTGTCTTAATACATATTCATGTGACAACTTCAATGCCCACCCTGTGCTATGTACCAAGTGTTTAGAGATCACAGCACATTTAGTTCTCCTAACTCCAAAGAGGAAGTATTACTGTCTCCACTTTAGAGATAAGACATGTGAGGCTCAGAGAGTGTGAGGACCTGGCCTGGGTCACAGAGTGAGTAGAACTCATTCTCAGGAGGTCTGGATCCTGAGAGCTAGGCTTTGGTCTTCAATCTAAAACACACACACACACACACACTTCCCAGACACTACTGACCTATAAAGAGTCAGTCTAAGGCTCAGTGGTTTGGTAAATCTGTAATCTGATTTTAATGCTGTGGGTCAGGGTTTCAGGAAGGCCCAGCTTGGCAGTTCCTATTGGGCATTTCCACGTGGTTGCGGTAGGATGATGGTTGCTTTGGCAATCACCTGGGAGCCCCAATTGGACTGGACATCCATGGAAACCCACTCACCTGGCTGGCAGGTGAAGCCAGTCTTGGTGGGAAGCTCAGAAGGGACTGTACCCTGGAGCACCTCTGGGTGGCCTCGGGCATGGTGGCTTAGAGATAGTGGACTCTTTACTAAAAACCTGGCTTCCCCAGGGCACAGTCCAAGAGAGAGCAGCAGAAGTTAGAGGGCCATCCCTGCATCCACCATGTGGGCTTCCTCCCCAGGACAAGTGGGAGGTCTGAGCAGCTTCTGGGTTGGGAGCTTCATTGGGAACCCAGGGTCCAGGTATCCACAAGCACCTGTTCCTGAGGGGACTTGGAGAAACCAGCCTGCATCCTCATGGGCCATGGGTCAAGGAGGCCACTTGGTAGAGGGAGGGAAAGAAGCAGACAAACTACTAATTTCTCCCTAACTTCTCCCAAGGAAAAGAATCCTGAATGGCAGTTGCTTGAGTCAAACAGAACTTTCATAGAGGTAGAAACACATTAGCACCTCCCTGCAGAGAGGCCAGCCCTAGCCCAACACTGCTGTCTGTCTACTTTCCCTGAGGCCCTGATCCCCACCCAGGCCAGGACCACTAAGTCCACACATCCTGCAGGATCACAATAGACTCAGATCTTAGGAACTCACAGACTCTTGGGTGGCTTACTTCCCTCATCCCAACTTTTCATAAATAAAGTCAGGGGTGAGAGGGCTCTACCTTCAAGTTAGAGAGGAAACGGGAAACCACAGGAGGGATTCTCTCACCCACTCTGCTGGGACCTGACTTTGTACTCCAGTATTCCTGGGGTGTTAGCCTCTGAGCTCTCTGGGATGTGGGAGGAAGTCCCCTTTATCATTTCACCTTCAGTAGTCATAGCAGTGGCCCCACTGCTCTGAGATGGGAAACATCAAGAAGCATAGCCCCAGCTTTTCCTCTTTGCCAAATGGCAGGTGGAAGGACAGCGGGGAAAAGGCTGAGCACATAGGACTGTTGTCTCCCTGTTCTGGATCACTAAGACATTCCTGTGCTATGCAACAATGTAACACCAGCTGTTAGTAATTAAAATATCCTCCTTGGAAATAGAAAAACCCACCTTATGATAATGTCTGTGTTTTAATGCTACATCCACCTAAACTGCACACAAGGAGTTCTGTTACATTTAAGGGCAGAGAAGGGCTGGGAGCATCCACCTGCAAAACCATTGCAAGGACACAGCTACCCAGGGTACATTAGAGGAGGTGCTGCCCTGGCTCTGTGTATGTCACCGGTCTTGGCTTCTGATTGGTATTACCCCCATGACTTACCCACAAACATACTTTCAGCCTCTGTGTCATACAGGTACCTGATCTTTCATGGATGAAGGAGGCATAAGTTACTATTTATGCAGTTTCTAGGGAATCTGAGGAGTGAAAAGCGGTCCCTGCAATTGAATCATCTCTGAACACATGGGTAAGGCCAGTTCCAGGCATGGGCACTGTCCAGCCCCTCCTCACCAGCCCTTCTTTTTCAAAAACAGCCTGATTCCTTTTCAAAGCAGCACCCAAGTTTCCCAGTTGGCAGTCCAGATCCCTGTCTTCTTGTTTGTCAGCAGGACACCTAGGTTTCTAGCCTCTCTCTGCTCCTTATGTGCTCTGAGACCCAAACATCCCAAACAGACAGCATTCACTCTGACATGCATGAATGATGTGAGCCCTTGGCTCTTGTCTGCTCCAACCCCTCCTTGCTCCATCCTGACACAGCAAACAACACAAAAGGAGGTGATGACACTCTTTTATTGAGCAGGATAAAAGCATCTGTGTGTGCTGCTCACATGTGTATTTGAAAAGCAAAAAGAAAGGAAGAGGGGAGAGCCATGCAGGTATTCACACCTGCTTGGAGAAGCCTCCTCTACTGGTCTCCTGTTGCTGGGACACTGAGAAGACATGGTCCAGGGCCAGGGCTCTTATCTAAGGGTTGGTGCACTAGAGGGTAGGGGTGCGAGTAAGGGTCAGCATGGCCCAGCCTGGCACAGACCTCAGGCATTCTCACAGCTGGATTTTAACATGGAGACTTTGCCCAGCCAGGGCACAGTATAGATCTGGAAGGAGCAGAGTTCTCTCTGCAAAAGAGGAGAAAGGACAGTCAGTGTGGGTTACAGTAAATAGGGATGGCACCCAGCCATGAGACTCCACGAGTAGGGGTATGGGATAATGGTCGTGAAACTCTCAATCCCCACCACCCCTACTGAGTCCCAGGACACTCAGTTGACTCTGCAGTACTTGCTCATTACCCCTCCGATTGTTCCAGTTCTATCAGATGGCCTGTGACCCCTCCCAGGCTGGAAGGGTTCATGTCCTTCTGCCCAGCACAACCCTGTCAGGAGCAGCTGGGCAAGGCTGCAGGAGCCCTGGAGGGGCAGGCAGGGACAAAGGCTCATCGTCAGTAAGCTCTCTCCCCTCCAGCACTACGAGAGGCACAAAGTCAAGAAGCCAGGGTGAGGCAAACACTGTTAGAAGGGGTGCATGGGGAGGGGTAACAAGGAAAGTGGAACTTTCCTCAGAGCCATGGTGTCACTAGAACCAACTCTGTCCAGGGAGGGTGGACAGTGGGGCATGGCTGGCACCCCAGGGTTTCAGCCACTTCCAGGCCTCAAACTTGTTTAGCATAGTTCTGGGCAAGTGGGTGGGGCTGGGATTAAAAAGAGCCCTTTCTCCCTCCCCAGGAGCTGCTCCTACAGCTGCCTCTTCCAGTCCAGCAGACAGCACCCCAAAGCAGGGAGGGGTGTAACATCAGTACCCCAATTCCTAGAGTAATGCCACAAAGCAATTCCAATTGATCATATGTACACAGACCTACTCCCATACCACTCCACAAGGGCACAGATCTGCATCTGCAGAAACTCAAACGGACCCTACGCCCATGTGTATCTATTATTGAACCACCACACTCCCACACAATTCACCCCCTACACACACACACACACACACACACACACTTGTGCACCTATAAACCCATACAAACACATACTCAGAGACACCTGTGTGTGATTGGCCCTTGGCCCATATCAGACACCTACCCTCTTCAGATTGGGCTCCTCATGGAAAGGACAGTCAGCCAAATTGGGCTCAGACTTGGTACACGTAGTTCGGCCAATCTCCAAGTCCAAGTAGTAGATCACTCCAGCCACAAGCTATAGTGAAAAGAGAGGGATTCACTTACAACACTGTGGTCCAGTTCACATGCATGCATTTACTTTACATTACAGAGTTAATGCATGTCTACGGTTCATGTCTGCATCCTTGAACGCATGATGCACACAGCCATCCCTTCAGAAGGGCTGGCCACAGGTTCCATTGCAACTTCTTTCCTTCTGAGCAACTCTGACAAGGTGTCTCCTGCTGCCAAATAAAAGAAGAGGAAAATAGAAGGTAGAAGCCAGAGACTAACACCCTTCACTGGACTCAGGAAGGGAAGACACAGCTCAGGGAGCCACCAGGGTGGAGGCAGATAAACAGCTCCCTGTTCCAGGACAGCAGGGCTGGTCTGAGCACAAAGACAAGGCTCTGGGCCCCAGCACAGAACTACTAAATTCTGCTGCCTGTGGCTCAGAGGCAGGGACACTATCCCACTGTAGGAAGGCTGCGATCTGATGATTAAACTCCAGCTAAACTCCAGTCCCCAGCACGCAGCCCACAGAGAACCCATTCCCTCCATTTACCAAGACTTACTAATCCCTCATTCCACAGCAGGACGTGGGGTGCTTCACACATGCAGGTGTTTTAGGCCAGTAAGGAAGTCTGCCCCTCAAACGATCCCTCCTTCAATGTGATTGCTGATAGGACTATTTCTCAAGTTTGTCACACACCTGTGTGTGTCTTCAGTGTGATTAAAAAATAGACTTTAACCCTTTTTCTGCACAGACCTATCTTTCAGAGCTGTGGACAAGCACAGGGTGAGGGATGGGGCCAAGGCTCTAGACCTTGCCCCATGGAACCAGGAACAAGGCCAGGTACCGGTGTTGGTTTTCCCATCTGTAACATGAGGCGTATAGACTAAATGACCCCTAATGCCCGATGCTTCCTTCCAAGTTAGTGTCACACTTGAGAGGTATTAGCGAGGACCATGGCATGTAGGAAGTGCATGATGTGTCTGAGGGGTACAATGACAGTTGATAGCTGCAGCAGGAAAGATAGGGCTAGTCTAGACCCCTCTGAATTCTGAACAGGAGACAGAAACAAGCTCTCCACATTGACATGCTACACAACACTTTTGTGGCTGTGTTGCTATGTGCTACTGTGCAGTGGAACCTGGGCCATCTGGTCTAAACTACATTCCTCCTTCAGGGCCAAGCCTGGGGCCTAGGAACCCTTTACCTTGCTCTAGACCCCTTCTCCTCCTGGTTCACTACTGCTGTATCTAGTGAGGGCTAACTCATATTGGCTGGCAAAGTCACAATCCTATGTGATCCTCTCTACTGCAGCAGGTACTCAAGCACCCAGGGCTACTGGCCATGGTGTGTCCATTTCAGTGCAGGACACCAGCCCCTGGAAGCTGCTCCCAGGGAACACTCCCTGGCTGCTGTGCAGAGAAAACAAGGCTCTTCAGGACAGGTTGGTGGCTCCTGCTGTGAGGACTTCTGGAGTCCCCATGACCTGTATCTAATCTTCATGAAACACCAGGTCAATCAGATTGAGCAAAAGTCCACATAGTCAGGTGTCTCTTAAGGATGGGAGCAGTTCTGAGAAATGTATGGTTTTCATGGTGCAACTGTTAGAGAGGACAAACTGAGATGATAATGTCACTAGGCAACATCATCTGATTGGACCCTCTTTGTACATGGAGTACATTCCTGACAGACACTTTGTCACATGGCACTACATGACTAGACCACAATTGGTTGGACTCTTCTAAACACCAAGGTAATGAAAACATCAGGAGCTGCTGCAGATGGAAGAAGGAGAAGAGCAATGACTGCAGTTCATGCAGAGTTCCCTCAGTGGACCCCAGCAAATTCAGTAAATGGGGTCATGCATACTCCTGATTTTCAAACCCGAATCTTGGGTGTGTACAGAAAACCCTTGTTTGCAAGAAAGTACACTGAAGAAGGGAAGTATTTACTCTCAAAAGGTTCAGAAAAAATGAATGCTCATAAACATACAGACCCACATTCACTTGTATGTGGGGAAAGAGGAGGACAAGCAAACATGGTCAGACAGTAACACTGAAGGGATGGGGTGAAGGAGCTACAGAGATGCTGTGGACCACTGCTGCTGCTGCTCTGTAAACCTGAACTTGTGTCAGAATAAGAACTTAAAGTGAAAAGTGATGAATGATCATTTAGTGAAGGCAGCCCAGCGTGGGGTGTTTCTCTTCCTCTTTTGTCGCTTTCTTAATAGTTCACATCGACTCCGATTCACAGTCCCCAAGACTGGTGGTAGGGAACTGAAAAGGCCAGACCCTAACCCGACCCCCTGGAGTCTCTAGCCTGTTGATGCTTGAACACAGAACTAAGTCGCCAGGAGCCAAAGTACAAGACAGAGGGGACAATTCTGGAAACACTCCGCAAAGGGCTGTGGGCAGAAGGAAAGACAGAGGACCCCCTCCTCCTGTATGAGAAGCACAGCGGCAGCCCAGTCCGGCAGATCTGGGCCAGATGTGAGTGAAGGGAGCTAGAAGAGCCAGGGTGGGGCTGGGGACGCGGGTAACGCCGGAGGTAGGGGCAGGGACGCGGAGCGGGGCGCGCGGGCACTCACCTGCTTGCGGGCGCGCACCACCTTCACCAGGCGGCTGTGGTACGCGTCGTTGCTGGCCTTGTTGTACTCGCTGAGCGCGTAGGACAGCGCGTACCGCACGCCGTGCTCCTTGACATCCGCCTCTTCTATGCCGCCCAGCCTCATCGGCGGCCGGTTGGGGCTCGCGTCGCTAGAGGAGCTCACGGCCAGGGCCACGGCCAAGCCGGCCAGCAGGAGCAGCGGGACGCGCAGGGTCCTGATCATGGTCGGCTCGGGCCCAAAGCTGGAGTCAGACCTGGAGCTGTAAAGGGACGACGGTGACCTGATACAGCACGGCGAGAAATGCCCGACTTTATCCTGGGCGGACCTCGGTATCCATTCCAACTGCCGCCAGGCTCCTCCTTTTCCGGCCGCCACCCGTCCCCCCTTCCTCTGTCCCTTCTCTCCCCCCCACTCCCGGCCCCGCCTCCTGTGTAAATCCGGTCCACCTTCCTGCGTCTCTCCTCCTCCCGATCCCTGCCTTCGCTTCAGGCACCTCCCGCGCCGCAGTCCCGCCCATTCTCCTGCTTTGTCTTCTCGTCCCCATGCCACCCCCACCCAGTCCCGGATCCTCCTCAGTTCCCTCATCTCCCACACTAGGGCCGCTCCTCTCCCCCAATTCCTGCCCCTCTTGGGGAGACCCCCGTCTCTTCCCCACTCCTGGCACCCCCTGCCCTTACCCTCTCCTAAGCTTTCTCCCTCCCCCCAAGTCCTTCCCTCCTCCTGAGGCTACCCAGTTGGGTTTCCCTGAACTCTGAAAAGCCTGTGACCTCTGAACTCTATTTCTTCAGAAAAGGGGAAAAGGGCAGACAGTTTTTGGCTTCCTGGGTCATTCCAGGTCAGTGCTTCTGTGAGTACTGGGTCAAGGACTGAGCACCCCCTGAACAGGGAATGATATTTCTGAGATTCCAGGAAGATCCAGTCCTTGCTCTATCTTCTGGCAGTTCTTTACCAAATACAGTAAATTAACCTTTATTTGGAAAAAGGGCTAGAGATTCTGTGTTAACTGTTTCATTAAAACTTTCAAGGCTTCTCCCTGGGCCAGGCCTTCTAGGGCCTGGAGATGGAGTACAGTGACTGACCCTGGACTTGACAATACAGCAGTCTCCCAGCAGAGATGTAATATAAAACCAGAAGTAATTTAAAGTTTTCTAGTTGATTCATTAAAAACGTGTGTACATGGGCTGTGTGAGTGGGTGATCAATAATTATGATCAGGGAATTACAGGTGCTCTGTTGGAAGTGAGATGGCCGATCCTGTTAGGTCCAGCCACTCACCCCTTTCTGCCAAATGAAGAGTCAAGGTGAAGGACAGAGAAAGTGTGGTGCCTGTTCAGTCTGTGATCAGAACACTTCCATATTCTTTGTCCTGTGTGGAAGTATCCATGGCAGGACACTGGGGTGTAAATAGAATTTATTAAAAGTTTGGGATGGTAAATACAAAAGGAAGTATGGTGTGCCCAGAAGGAAGCTGGAAGTCTAGAGATCATGTTTCTGCTCTTCAGGTGCTTTTAAAACCTAAGATAACCTATGGGAAGGGGAGAACCAGGAGATTCCCATCCAATAATCAGTGAGTGGGGCGGGGCATGGGTGGTTCCTGGCCAGGTGAGAGTGGTTCCTGAGCCAAAGCCTGGTTAATCTAAGATGTAATATTTTTTTCTATGAGTCCCGAACTAACTTGCCCTAATTTGGCCTGCCTCAAAAGGAGATTTGTTACACAGCCCAGGACACATCATGGGAAGAAGCAAAGTAAGCACTTTAGCCCATCTTCAGCCATTTTGGTGTTCAGACATGAACCTTAGCTTTAAATACACAAGGAATTCAGGCAGGGGACAAATAGTATGCATAAACATCCTAGTCACAGGTGTGTTAAAGTGCTCAGATTGGTTGGGTGGGGTCGGCTCACCATTATCTCAGTTCTTGTTCTTGAGGCCTCTGGGATAGTTGTTATTGCTTGAGGGGAACAATCTGGTTCTTATTACTCCTTCTCCAGGTTTCAACCTTGTCATTATAGGTCATTGTCCTCATTTGGGGAGGGGTGGTCTGTTCTGTAAGGCTCCACTGTTCCTTAGGGTAGGGGTAGTTTTGGTCACTTGTCATAAAGATGTTATCGAGCAGTCCTGTTTTTCCTGGAACCCAAGGTGGCTGCAGTAGAGGATGGCTCAGAGCAAAGGACAACAGATACAAAATGAACTCCTGCTTTGAGTTCATTTGTGGACCTGAGTAAGGAGTCAATGCTTTTTAGCAAAAGCAGTTTTAATTACGTCTTAAATATATCTTTGCAATTGGGTGTGTATTGTAACATTTCAGGCAGATGTCCATTGACAGTGGCCCCGTTCCAGCACCCTATGACCACATGTGGTGCTGGCTATGTAGCAAACAGTCTTCAGTGTGTTGGGAGGTGGGCAGGTGGGTGTGGAAGTGTGACCCCTAATTTTGATCAGGGAATCAGAGATGCTGTATAGGAAGTGAGATAGAAGATGTGGAAGAGAGAATGCGTGCCACCGGTCACTGGTTGGGAAGTCTCTTTGGACCTGAAAGGGTAAGAGGTCTTGCCTTACGTCAGGAAAACAACTCCATGCAGAGGCAGCAACCAGTTTAAAGGCCCTGAGGCACAGCTGAGCTTTCCTGTTGTAGGAACCAGAAGCCAGTGGAAGGTGTTTGAGCAATGAAAGGATATGATCTGTAATCACAGCCTGGAAGCTGTGTGGACAGTACACAAGTGAGGACCCCTAACCATCTCAGGCTTGGGAGAGAGGGTGGGCAGCTAAGGGTTCAGTGTGCAAGCACATGGTCTGCTCTTGCTCCTCCTCACAGCCACAAGTGACTCTGGTCCTCTGTTCCTTGTTGAGATACTTACTTGTTTTTTATAAAAACCACCTTGTATAAAGTATGAATTATATATACAAAATGCCCCATCTTATGTGTCCCAACAGGAATTTTAGTGAATGTGTGCCCCAGTGCCATCCCTCAACCAAGATCTAGAATGTGCGCATGACCCCAGAAAGCATCCTGGTACTTCTGAAGCCCTTGCTCATGTCCACCTGGGCCCTGCCATCTTCCACCTGCCACTGTAGACTCATCCTTCTGCCTATTGTTGAACTTCCAAGAGTGGATCCTGCAGCGTGAGCCTTGTGTCTGGCTTCTTCGCTCAGTATCATTTGTGAGCTTTCCTCATGACATTTCTTTAACCTGTTCTTTTTCTCTCCAGACTGAGCAGACATGGTCAGTCCTGTCAGTCTGTATGGGCTGACAATGTCACCAGCTTAGGACAGTACAGACCTGGCTTCTAGGAATGCAAAAAGTGAACGGGTGTTCTGAACACATAGCTGGCTTCATTTCTCCTCAACCCTGCCCTCTGTGACAAATGACCTCATGGTGAATATGGCAGGGCATCCAGAAGGAGTGGTGGAAGCAATGGTCACCCAGCATCAGCCAGCCCTGGTGTGGACTTGGGACTGGACTATGGGTGGGGTAGAATTAGCAGGAGGTGAGACAGTATTACTAAAGAGTATTTGCGTTCACAGGCAGGATGAGGGGCCCTTTTGCCTGAGGAATGGTAGCCATCTAACTCCACTATGAGTCAGCAGGGCCTGAATATTCACAGTGACCCAGTAGTGAAGCAGCTGTCATAGTGATGGCATTTGTATCTCCCTGAGGGCAGGGAGGACTTCAAAGGAGGCTACCTGTCATGTTTTCCTGGTCAAATACAAAACAGTGGAGATGCTCAAAGACAGGAAAGAGAGGCCAGGAGCCGAATGGTCATCTTCGAAGGGCAGGAATTGGTTTTCATCTGTGGCTCCCCACCCTCTCTGGGAAACTGGGGCTGCAGTCTCAGGAGAGCATATTGTGCAAGAGTAAGCTGAAACACGAGCAATCCTGCTCTTTTGTCACTAGGAAGAAAGCACAGGTCACCCACACATCTGGAGCATAGTAGCTTGAATACTGACAAATACTGACCTGCTGGTGTATGTGGTTACACTGCTTGCTGTTGTCCTCTTAGGCTGCTGGCATGGGTTACATTGGAAGGCATGGGTTACATTGTCCTGACAGCAACATTTCCAGTCCCCAAGGAACAGATACCAGTGTAAGGTGTCTCAAGAGTTACGAGAGCCACCTCCAGTGTGGTATGATAAGGCATGGAAGGTTAAGATAGGGGCAGACATTTACTCCAGAGTTTGGATGACCTGGAGCAAATGTTCTGCCTTCTGTGTGTAGAGTGCATTGGGAGA